TAGTGGGGCCAGGAGAATGTGATCCTTCATGCATCTAGAAGTGGAAGAGAATGGAATATTTGTGAACAGTTTTTTTGTTTTCCACTATAGTTCTTTCTTTTAGGCAATAATAAGGGGATATATAAAATTACCAAGAGAGTAATAATAACAAAGTTATGGGATGCAACTCTTACTCTAGTAGCAAAATTTCCTTTATTTTTCAGTTTAACAGTTGGAAGAGCTTGGCACATCTATGCATTCCAACCTTTGAAACCAACATAGTTAAATCTAGGTTTTACCTTGTTAGGGTTTTTTGTTGGTGGTGGTGGTTGTTTTTTTTGTTTTTGTTTTTGTTTTTTTACAACAGCTCTTAATTTTATGTTAAGATTATTATCTTAAATAAATTCATTGTATCTTTCTCTATTCTGTAATTATACTTAATGCATTTTAGAAATGTGTGGTTTTTTTTTTTTTTTTTACTTGTTTTGACCAGTTCAAGAATATCTCTGAAGTGGTAATGGATTACTTTAGAATTTTTAAAAAAGGAGATGATGAACTCAGGAAAGTAAGAAGTATACGTACTGTTCTGTTGGAAAGTATGCTGTGTGTGGCTTGGCCTTTCGATGCTGGATTATTTACATTCAATCCCCACTGCCGTCTGGATTCAGCGATTGCAGAATCTTTAGAAAATCATTACAACATTAAAGTTATCACAGAGAAACTTAAAACATCAGAAGGCAGAGCTGGGAGGGCTTAGAAGATCCCTAAAGATCTGTAAAGACACTTCACTTATTTAGGCAGAGAAAGTTACTTGCCTGGGGTTTCTTCACCTTTTGTGCTTGATATTTTGATTCTCGAGTATACTTTTCTTTTCCTCAAGTTCATTTTTCCTTTGCCGACTGTTTTCACCACTACAGTTTACGACATATAACTAGTTTAAGGCTCTGCCGTGTTTCATTGCACCATTTTAAAGAGGATACTCAGGCTTTTATCATGTAATACCTTTATTAAGCACTTAATAATAATACTAGCTAACATTTACACTGTGCTTCCTATGGCCCTGACATTTTACTTTTTGAACTTAAGGTCTGTGCATGTAAATTATAGTTTAAGCACATGCTCTCATGAATTTTTATTTAGCATTTCTAGTTCAAGGTATAGACCATCCCTCGCCCCCTAGAACAGAAGGAGCAAATACTTTAGGTTTTGTGGGCCATTCGCTCCTTGTTGCAGCTACTCAACTCTGCTATGGTAGAATGAAAACAGATGCAGAAACCCATATACAGATACAGTGGCAAGATTCCAATAAAGCTTTAGCTGAATTTGACCATGAATTATAGTTTGTTGCACTCTGCCCTAAAAGACTCCCAGGCAGGCACTTTACATTAAACCCTCCCAGTGAGCCTGTGAGGTAGGTATTATTTTTTATTACTTTATTGATATATAACTGACATGCAACAAACTGTACAGTTTGATGTTTTGCCATATGTAAACACTAGTGAAACATCAGTATAATCAAGATTGCAAACATTTCCATCACACCAAAAGTATTTCCTCTTGCCAACTCCCCCCGCCCCTTTTTAAAATATTTTATTTGACAGAGAATGAGGTATCGAGAGAGAGAACACAAGCAGGGGGAGTGGGGCTCCTCATGGGGCTTGATCCCAAGGCAGACGCTTAACAAAGACAGGTGCCCCTCCTCTTTCCCCTTGTAACTCCTCTCTCTGCCTTGCTGAGGATAATCATTGATGTGCTTCCTCTTACTAAGTTTTTATTTTATTTTTATTTTATTTTTTATTTTACTACAGTTTTTATTTTTAAGGATTTGATATAAGTGTATTCATGGAGTATTACCCATTCCCTCTGAGTTCTGGCTGCTTCTACTCAGCATCATTACTTTGAGAGTCATCTGTTTTGTTACTTGTATCTATAGTCTGTTCCTTTCCTTTCTATTGTTATATTCATTGTATGGATATACCATATTTTATTCATTACTATTTTAGCTGTAAAATAAAACATTGATGAGCATTCATGAAGATGACTTTGTGTAGACATGGGCTTTCATTTTGTTTGGGCAGATACCTAGGAGTAGAATGTGTTGGTTGTATGGTAGAGACATGTCTAAATTTTAATTTTTTTAATTTATTTTTTTAAATGTTTTTTTTTTTTAAAGATTTTATTTATTTGACAGAGAGAGAGAGAGAGATCACACGTAGGTAGAGAGGCATCAGAGAAAGAGGGGAGAGCAGGCTCCCCGCTGAGCAGAGAGCCCAATGCGGGGCTCGATCCCAGGACCCTGAGATCATGACCTGAGCCAAAGGCAGAGTCTTAACCCCACTGAGCCACCCAGGCGCCCCCCAATGTCTAAATTTTTAAAAACTATCAAATTGTCTACCAAAGTGGATGTACTATTTTAAATTCTTATTCCTACCAGCAGTGCATGAGAACTGATTGCTCCACATCTTCGCCAGTACTGGGTATAATCTGACTTTTTATTTTAGCCATTCTTGTGGGCATGAAGCCGCAGCTCGTTGTGATTTAAATTTGCATTTCTCCAATAATTAATGATGCTGGGCATCTTTACATCTACTTGTCATTGTATACGTTCTTTGATAAAGTGTCTATTCCAGTCTTTTGCTTACTTTATTAATTAGATTTTTTTATCTTCTTACTTTGGAGTTTTGAGAGTTCTTTATACAATCTGGGTATAAGTCCTTTACTAGATACAGAATTTGTATCTTTTTTCTCCCAGGCTATACCTTTCCTTTTCATTTGCTCAAAGGTGTAATTGACACTGTTTTGAGCTGCCCTATGGTGTGGTTGTTACAGAGCAGTCTGAGACCATCCGAGAGTTTTGAGTCTTAACCTCGGAACCTAGGGAAAATAACTTGAGGTTTCTAAACCACAGGGTCCACCTCAAAAATTCTTGTCATACATGTTTCTGATTTTCTTATGTTTTACCAAGAAGTTTATATGAGGACAAATTTGAATATGATTTAGTATGATTGGTTGAAAGAAGTATTTTTAGGGATGTAGAAATGATTCAGTAAACAAAATGGCAGTCATTAAGCTTAATTGTTCTTCATAACTTCTGGATTTCTATCCTTTTACTAGTTTGGCACCCTACCCTCTTTTCTAAATTGAAGGGATATTCCAAAAGAGTACTTTCTTATAACTGTGAAATAATCTTATAATCTGGACTATCTTGTTGCCATAGTCATTTTATACTTAGTAATTAAGATTTATAGAAATAAAAGTCAGTAGTATGTGCTCTCTAGTTAAAATTGAAGTCGGAACAACTTTAATGCAATCTACCTAGTCTTTCTGCAGAATAGTGATACTGACTTTGACCAGTTGGTACATCCTCTGTGAATTTGCCGTGTGTGATTATTAAGTGTGTGTTTAAGGAAAGTGGTACAATGTTAACTTCATATAAATGTCAGCATTGTGATCAAATAAGTTATACAATTGGCTGGTCAGATTTAACTTACCAATAAAACATGAACATGATAGTGGGGTTTCATATGTGGCCATTTGTTACCTTGAAGTTCAGACATCTGGGCCATCATTGTAGGGCTTCAGATAAGCCCATATGATGGGTTGTCAGAAACCAAATCAACTTTTTATTTTTTAAAAGATTTTATTTATTTATTTGACAGAGACAGACACAGTGAGAGAGGGAACACAAGCATGGGAAGTGGGAGAGGGAGAAGCAGCTTCCTGCTGAGAAGGGAGCCCAACACCAGGCTCCATCCCAGGACCCTGGGATCATGACCTTAGTGGAAAGTAGAGGCTTAATGACTGAGCCACCAAGGCGCCCCCAAGATGAACTTAAAGCATATCCATTTACATTTGCCTTTTGTGTTCTTCTTCCATTATCTCACTAAGCCATATCTAAAATTGTATGATGCTATAGTAAAATTTGGAGAAGAAGGAATTTTTCTTTTGTGGGTAGCTTTGCATTTTTTACTATCAATAACATGTAGATAAAGTGTGTTTTTCATCATGTGTTTTAATAGGAAAGGGTCCTGTCAGTTTGTTTTTATCATTGGTCAGTTACCCGTCTTGGATTTGCACTGATTGCCATTTTTCCTGAACACTGTAGTCCGTAACTTGACAGAATGAAAAGTGAACACCTTAGAAGTCAAGGCGACTGCAGGATACTTCAGAATGCCTGGTATCGTATTAACGTGGGCGCGTGGCAACCAGGAGACCTGGGTTCTGGTCCTGCAGTATGTCATCAGGGCCACTGTCATCCTGCCCAAGCAGCTCTCAGCATGGTTTTTCTTCTGTCAGTTGAAGATTAGGGTGCCTCCTGTGTCAAAGAGCGATACCAGATGGAAAGGAGATACGTGAACCCGTAGAATGTTCCCCAAAGTATTTAACATGTTAAATTTTTTAAAAGTATGATAGTTGAAGAGCTCTACAGTTGTTCCTTCTTTTAGTCACATGGCCACATGGGCCACTTTTTGTTAGTAGGTTTGCATGTATCTGCCTTCTTAGAGGGAGAGCAATCTTGCATGCAGAGGCAAAAGTGGGTGCGGACTAGAGATGGGGAGGAAGGATAAGCTCCTTTATCTCATAGCCAGTCCTAGTCTTTTGACTGCATTTTGCCCACCATACTTATCTTCTTCCTGCAAGCTTCATTTTCTTCTATTCTTGTCTCTTCTCCCCCTCCACTACCAGCTTTCTTTTTTCCTCTAGTACCTCTTCTCTTAGACCAGAGGGAGGGTGGCAGGGGGATCGGGGGAAGGATGGCTCTGTAGCTTTAAGTACTGTCATCTATCTGGATGGTTATGGAGCATGTGTCGGACACGTGCAGAGCATAAAGCTAGTTAACTGTGTACTCAGACCCCATGATCAGCCACATGCTTCTGTACGTCCTTTATCCCACCAGTTTTCTTTGCTTTGGAGTGGGAGACATGTGTTTGTAGCACTATTCTTAGGGTCAGAGGGGTTATATCTAAATATAGACTCTGCTGAATGATGAGCTCTTAATCTCTTATTTTATTTATTTTTAGGACAGGAGCGATTTGGCAACATGACCCGGGTATACTACAAAGAAGCTGTTGGTGCTTTTGTAGTCTTTGATATATCAAGAGGTTCCACGTTTGAGGCCGTCTTAAAATGGAAAAGTGATCTGGATAGTAAAGTCCACCTTCCAAATGGCAGCCCTATTCCTGCTGTCCTCTTAGCTAATAAATGTGACCAAAAAAAGGATGGTGGCCAGAATCCTACCCAGATGGACCAATTCTGCAAAGAACATGGTTTCACTGGATGGTTCGAAACTTCTGCAAAGGTGAGTTCTGCTTTGTGTTTGTATCTGCTCTGCTCTTCATTCGTAAATTTGAGCTGTAACTATAAAATATTTAGATGAGTTTATGTGTGCAGTTTTGGGGAGCCTAGAAAGAGGAAAGTATAGCATGGATTTGTTATAGCTTCTTTGAGCGGTCAGCAGGAATGCTTTCAAAATTGGCTGATGTGGAAGTGAATAGAATAGAATAGAAGGTTTTCCATCAAAATAAAAATTAGCTATTATTTAGAGCAAAGAACAATGATGTTCTCTGAGTTTGAGCCTTTAAATAAAGCACTTCTGCAACTGGAGTTCATGGGGAGGATAAAGTGTCTTGTTAAGCACAAGCATTGAAGACTTCACGAAATCTAGGGATAGATGACACTGGTCAATGTGTAGGTCATGTGCGTGTAGGTCATGTGCAGTACTAACAAAAATGGACACTGAAAATGTCAGAGATGTATTCAGATGGTGTTTGAAGAGTTTCAGATTGTGTATAGAAATCTGAAAGAAATGTGAAAGAACCTGAACAAGAGGCAAGTATCAGCATTTGTGACATGTGGCATGAAGAGTGGAGGGAGAATTTTTTCTTTCATCTATTATGGGATACAGTGTTTTATGAAGAAAAACAAAAACACTAAACTTGTTAAAAAATCTTGCCAGCCTAGATATACAAGAAAGTAAAAGTGAAAATCGCAAGCACAAAATATTAAGTGGGGAGGGAGTTTGTTTACATGCATTGGAAATTTCGCATTAGAGGTCAATAACTATTGGACTGATGTCAGAATGATGAAATGTTGGAGAAATTCTGTAATGACAAAGTCGAAACCTTAAGATTGTATATCTTAACACAGTCCCAGCATTTGGGATGCCCTCTGTGGATTTCTTGTATGTATATATTTTTTAAAAAGCCTTTTTCTCTCAGTTAACAAATGTGACCAGATTTACCTACTGGTCAGATTACCTACTCACCACTAGGTCACTTTTAGTTTTACCAGAAACCCACCCCGAAAGTAGAAGATCATTTGATGCCACCGATGATCAGAATAAGGAAAGTAAAGCTATGAGAGCCTGCACAGAAAAGCTGCTCTGGAGATAACTGAGTGATGTTGTCGTCATCCGAAAAACTATTGTCTGCTGGAACCAGAAGTTTTTACTCTTAAGCTAAAGGCTATTTGTTTAAATAAATACATTCTAGAATCTTCAGTTTTAGTTTCATGCATAAAAAGTGGTGTCAGGAGAAAGTTGCGCGTGAGCACTTACCCAGGCAGGAAGGAAGAAATGGCAGAAGGGGAGGCTTTTCTCACAGAGGCCATGTCCTGGAAGCCACATATTTGGTCTCTTGTCTTTGGCGGGTCTGTCAGGTGATTTGCTTGACTTCCTAGCTTTGTTAGGCAATAATCAGTGGTATGTGCAATGTTTATTAGAACATGGGACTTATAGGAAGAGATGCATGTATTACAGATAAAATTTCTTCTCCAAATTTTATTGAATTAATTATTCAGATAATAAATCCAAATTCATCCCCAGAAACAATAGTGTTATGTGGTGAGTACCTTGGGACTGTAAGTCATCAGCGTTGCTACATTTATAGACATGTTACATGTGGAGTGGAGAAGGAAAATCTTGATTAATAGATGTTTCAGGTCTGTTCTGTGCTTTCCTACAAAAACATTAGCGACGCCTTTTGCAGAATGTCCTTAGTAGTAAACCAGGGATTTCCAAGAGGATAACAGTAATATGAAATTTAGGTTAAAATTGTAGTTAAGACTTAAAGTACTGCCCTAGTGTCACTAATGCCTGTATTTCTGAGCAGGCCGGCAGCTGACTCGACAGCTGATTTCTGCTTGAATTGCAGTGATCTGAATTCGAATGGGAACACAGCCAAAAGACAGTCTTGAATTCATGAACTTCATCTTTCACCTTTATGGCAAATAATGGATTTCCTATACGAAAATGTGTTACTAATTACAATATGGGAATTTCAGTTCCTAATCAATTGCTACTAAATGCAGTTAGAGAGCATTAGAATTCTTTGAGATAATGGGAATGGTGGGGGCTAAATGACATTTGGACATTCCAAGATCAATACTTTAATTAAAGTTAATACTTATCTTGGGAGTGGAGGTTAAAAATGAAAAGTGCTGGAACAGATAACTGAATGAATAGTCCAAATGTAGGTTTCTCACTGTCTGAGAAAGTACAACCGATAAGGGAGACAGCTAGAATATACCTAATGTTTTTAGACTGAAATTGGGGAGATCGATATGAACTTAGTGATTTATATGCATGTAGAGATATGTATGTTTCTGTGTATGTGTTTATAGACACGTGTATATATGTGTATACACATGTGTCTATATACACAAATATGTATAAACAGACAAATGTAGAAATTGATGTCTATGTGTCTGTGGAGGCGTATGTGTATTTACTAGTTCTCCTCGCTTAGGAGCAATGATACCACAGATCCAATGAGCTTCCTAGTCCCCAGAATTTGTTCTTTATTTTTTACTATTTTTTACAAGACTTTATTTATTTTAGAGATAGCATGAGCTGGGGAAGGGGCATAGGGAGATACTCTCCAGCAGACTCCCCACTGAGCACAGAACCCGACGTGGGGCTCGATCTCACCACCCTGAGTTTATGACCTTGAGCCAAAATAAGAGACAGTTAACCAACTGAGCCTCCCAGGTGCCCCCAGAACTTGTTTTTTAAATACTGTTCTCCTGTAAAAAGAACAGGGGTTTCATGGAGAAATTATTGCTTCCAGGATTGGTGGGACAAGGAAAGTAAAGATACGACAGAGATATTTTGTGGTGCTGGAAACTAAGGAAACACAAAATGATGGTGATCGGTCAAAAAGAAACAAGACCCTACTTAATAGGAGCTCCAAAAATTCAAGACAATTGGAGCAGCAAAGTAAATGACTATTGCAGTGGATCTAATCCATAGAATAAAGGAATAAAGTAATAATCCACGATAAGAGTAAACCAATGAAAAACTCTTCCTAACAGCAGAATTCCAACTAATAATTAAAAAAGGAATGATGGACACAGTCAGTCACCTTTAACCACCATGGAAATAGCTGTTTTAGGGAAGAATAAATTGATGTTGAAGTTAATGGGAAAAACTCTGATGAAAAATAGGGTACTTCCATATTTGAGCTTACTAAGTACAAAACTAAGTACAAAAGAGAAATAGTGCCTATTCAGTGGAGAAGCCTGACAGACATGACTTTAAGCAAGTGTGCCTCTCGGATGCTGAGAGAGACACATTACTTACTCCTGTCAAAAATGTATAACTCGAGTTTAATGATATGGAAACATCAAGCAAGCCCAAATTGAGGGATATTCTCTGGCCAGTATGCTCCAAGAGTGTCAAGGTCATGAAAGGCAAGATGACTGAAGAACTGTCCCAGGTTAAAGGAGACCAAGAAGACATGAGCATGAAATACAGCCAGTCACCTGGATCATACATAGGACACTGAAACAATGGGGACATTTGAATGAGGTTCATAATCAGTGCTGACACTATTATCGAATTTCCTGACTTTATCTGGAAATCTGGTTATCCAAGATGTTAATACTTTAGGAATATGAGTGAAACATATGTAGGAATTTTTGCTATTTTTGCAATGTTTTTGTCAATCCAAAATTATGTAGAAATGAAAAGTTAAATATTAAAAAAAAAAAGCCCAGATTTTGCTATGTGTTAAACTCGTGTATTTAATGACAGCTAAATCTGTCACACAAATGTTGTGATAGCTAGTGACTCCTTAGGGTATTTTTTAATGGACATCACACCTACAACATTGTTTCAGAAACTAAGGAAATTAATTTACAAATGACAACTAGAAGTAATAACCTTACTCAGAGAGGGGAAATGACATGATGCATTTATCATATTTTAATGTGTGAGCCCATTGACATTCCTCTTCATAATGTATCCTGAATGCTTGACCTTAAATGTTTAAAGGCAGGAACTTTTTTGTCTTAGTGCTTTCGTTTATGGGAGTGGCAACCCAGCAAGGGATGACAATTTCTTTTCAACCATTAAGGTAGTTCACTGAACCTCAGGGACAAAAAGTTTGAAACAGGAATATCAGGAAGGGGAATCCTTTGTGAAAAGAGGAACGTTCTATATCCACATTACTGAATGGCATTAAACTCTGAGGGTGTGTATACCCTGGAGTGAGGGCGAAGATGGCAGCCTGTGTATTCTAATGTCCCCTCTAACAAACTGCCCCCTCTGACAAACTGCGCTCGTACCATTACTGCTCTTCATGCTTTCTTCTAAGCATGAATCCTTGGAATTCATCCTGGTCATCATTTCTGCATTTTAGGATAACATAAACATCGATGAAGCAGTCCGGTTCCTTGTGGAGAATATTCTTGCAAACCACCAAAGCTTTCCTAATGAAGAAAACGACAGGGACAAAGTTAAACTGGATCAGGAGACCTTGACCGCAGAGAGCAAGTCCCAGTGTTGCTGACATGGCTTTTGCTTCTGTCTCAAGAGCAGATGCAGCCTGCCTGGGCTGGAGCCAGGCCTGAGTTTGGATAAGGTGCAGATGTGCTGTCCCGTGAGTCTTCCCAGGGCTGCACTTTAAAGGAATGCTCTGGTTTTTCCTCAGGTTGCATATCTTTCTCCCTGTTCTGAATGATAGTGACAGCACCCCTGGGAGCCTGCGCCCACACAGGGCTTCTCTGGTGGTTGCCATAAGTTCAGGATAATGTTTACATCCTCTGTAACATCTTTTTAAATGATGCTCCCCCCCGCATCCCACCCCTTTACCAACTTCCAAGTTGTGCCTTGTGGCGGGAGTGCTGAGGTAAGAAACCTGACCTACAGTCTTTGAGCAAGGCTGTGGGGCTCTGTCTTGTCTCCATATCCTGGTCTCACTCTCCAGGCTCTGGAGGCTGCAGGCTCTGGTTGTCACAGAAGGCTTGAAGTCCCTGTTTTGCAGCCTTTCTTTCTTTTTTCTTCTTTCCTTCCTTCCTCTTTCTTTCTTTCTTTTCTTTCTTTCTTTCCTTTCTTTCTTTTCTTTTGTTTTCTTTTTTCTTTTCTTTTCCTTTCTTTCTTTCTTTCTTTCTTTCTTTCTTTCTTTCTTTCTTTCTCTTTCTCTTTCTCTTTTTCTCTCTCTCTCTCTTTCTTTCTTTCTTTTCCTACTTAACACTTTGGTACTTCATGTAAAATTGTTACCCTTAGTATTATAATTTCATGAGCCCTAGCCAGGGTAGCGTGCCCTTGCTAAGGACTCAGCATGGCTGGCATTCTGGCTCTGGTTGCTGCCAGTTGGAAACGATATAAACAGACATTTCTTCTCTCTCTCCAGTCTTTTGTTCTGTTTTTTGGTTTTTGGGTTTTTTTCCCTCTTCCTTCTGGTTGTTTATTTTTTACCTGAGAGCCTGGCTGGTATTACTGTTGCAATTATCTCCAACTGAAGCTAATCTTTTTAAATCTGTATTAGTAATGGTCATAGAGAGGAGTCACTTCAAAACATGTACCATGAAAGCTGAGGTTCTGTATTATGAATTATGAAAGAGAGTAGGTCATGTGTGGTTTTCTGTAAAGTTTGGGACATTTTAAGTATAACACATGAGAAACTTAAGGCAGCCTCATAATATTTGTATTACCATTTAACCCAGTTAAGGAAAAGAATAAATATTTTGACTGAAACCTTGTTTTTGTGAATTAATGTGATTATGTGAAGGTAAATGGGGTGTACTTTTCTGCCTTACAAAACTTGGTGTCTGTTCACTTTTTCCTTTTGTTTTTAAGGGACTTGCTATCGTCTGAAAGGTCCAACATATTTTTTTCAGAGGAGTTTTCAAAGTGTTTGTGACATAACCCAGAGCTAATGCAAAATGAGGCATTGATTAAAATGTCTTACACAATATTATGAATGTGGGTAGGAAAAATCCATGCATTTATTGAGAGCAGGGGGGAAAAGAACTAGCAAGAATTGTGTTTGCTCTGGCAGGTGTATTCTGGGAATAAATAGTTATCATGGGCCATAAAATATAGCTTGCTTTTCTGGTTAAATGTAAGCTTTGCCTAGGACTCACAAAATGTATTTATATGTTCTTCATTTAAGTAAATAAACCCTTTGATCTTTTGGGACATGTATTCTATATAGAATCAGATTTTCTGAAGTTAAGGAATATAAAGAAGCCCCTTATTTAAATATTACTTACCATTTAGTTAATATAGCCCCTCTTAATTTAAAAAAAAAACATTGCATTTAATCTTGCTTTCTAAGAAACATGTGTCATACTCTAAAATTTTTTCTGGTGTAGGTACAAAGCACTTTTTTTTTTTTTTTAAAGATTTTATTTGAGAAAAAAAAAGACAGGGATACCAATAGAGATGGAAAGGAGTGTGAGGAAGAGGGAGTACAATGTGGGGCTCTATCCCAGGACCCTGAGATCATGACCTGACCTGAAGGCAGATGCTTAACCCACTGAGCCACCCAGGCACCCCAAACTACAACTTCTTAATCTATATTGATTCCAAAGTCCAATTGTGTAAGTAGTATGAAAAGTGGGTGCCAAAACCTAAATGTTAGAAACCTAAAGCTTACTCTGGGTGGTCACTGAAAGCAGCAATTCTTCTTAGAATTTTCTTTTTGTACATATTGGCTTTCATTTTTACAAGAAATTCATTGTGTTTAAATTGAGCAAAATCAGGGGTATTGCACTCTCTGTGCCCACCTTTACCACATTTGTTCCCCTCTCTGAGGATAATTTTAAGGATTGAGAGTCCCTTAGATAATGGTTTTTCTATAAACCCTGAGGGTTCTGTTTGTCAGTATGAGATAATTTATTCTATTTATCATTTCTTACACTTTAGAAGTAAAACTGAGTATTTTGCTTTACTCCTAAATTCTCACCACAATTTGTTTTTGTAACATAAAATTGAATTTAGGGTAAGTTACATAAATGGCTAAAGGAGAGAAGAGAATACTTTGACTTCCTTATTCACTTAATTGCTTATTAAAATTCCTGAGCCTCACTTCAGACTTACTTAAATAATTTTCTGGGGATGGGGCTTAGAAATTTCCTTTATAAAAAAATCTGGTGAGGGGTGCCTGAGTGGCTCAGTCGGTTAAGCATCTGACTGACTCTTGGTTTTGGCTCAGGTCATGGTCTCAGGGTGGTGAGATCGAGCCCCACATCAGGCTCTGTGCTCAGTGGGGAGTCTGCTTGAGATTCCCTCTCTCCCTCTCCTGTCCCTTCTCTCTCTCTCTAAAGTAAATAAATAAATCTTTTTTAAAAAGCTGGTATTCCTTATAGTAAGCAGCAATAGTTAAAGTGTTACTGAGTTTGAAATCTATGACACTGCCCAAAACATGAAGAACATTTGTAATATATAGCACTTTTATTTCCATTATATATCATTGTTATTAAAAAGTCTGAATGGCTTAAACAGTGGACAAGCAGTATAAATCTGCTTTCATCCCACTGGAAAAAAAAATTGAGGCTTAAGGATTCTGACAGGCTGGACTAATCTCCAAGTAACTTTGTACAGTTAGCCGTCTGGAAAAAAAAAATAAGTCCTATCTCTATTGTGCTATTCCTCAAAATGATAAGTCTGGAAATTAATAACCTAAATGTTAAAACAAGAAATACTAACAAAACTTTGCCATGTGTGGTAAAAATTTTGACATCAGGCTGAGAAATTCCTTTTTAAATCCCCAAATGCTTAAAGCCAAAGAGGAAAAAAATAGATACATTGGGTGCATCAATATCATATCTAAGAAGAGGATATAAGTAAAATTATAACAAGCAACAGACAAAAGAAAATGTATGCAATCCATTTAATTGGGTGAGGTCAATGAAGCAGGATAATAAAAAACTCTAAGGCAGTAAAAATGGACAAAGAATATAAAATCAGCATTTTTGGAAGAAGCAATTCCTGTGTTAAATCTTGGTATGTTAAATCTTGGTAACCAGGAAACGTAAAAAATAAGATGTTATCAGATTCCACAAGAAATGTGTAAATTTGGTTGTATCCCTGATGTTGGTGAACACACAGGAAAATCGGTGTTCACAATCTGCCATACCACCAGGTTTGGTAGATATCTCCCCGTTTCCCTCCAGTGTTGCTGTGCACTTGACACTCTGCCCACATCTTGCTGAGAAGCCAAACTGCTATTGTTGGGGAAATAACAAACTATCCTCCCACTCAGAAGACGGCTCCCAGAAGTAGAAGGGAGAGAAAGCAATGTTTATTGAATAAGCACGAAGCCAGAATGATTGCCTCAGGGGCAGTAGCTAAGAGATTATAAAGGCCCTTTTGCATAGCTCAGCAGATACAACTCCCCCCGCCCCCATCATGCTTATTCTCAAGGTAAATGAGGTATACCAGAAGTCAAGAGGACTTGGTATCACCTTTTGTCACACAGGGTACATCCTAAATGCACTTAATAGTTGGAGTATTAGCTAATTGGCTTTTTCCAAAGGAGAAATCACTTTTTATATCTTCATGGCAAGAGGTGGTTGTGCAAGTTGGTGTGAGATTTCTCCCTTTACAAGAAATTGGGAGATAGGGACACTGTCTCTCCTCAAAATATTTCAAAGAGCTGGCTCCCAAAGATGTCCTTGAGAAAGTCTGGAGAGAGTCTTCTTTAGCTTTAAAACAGATTTATATACATATCAAAGAGACAAAGAAATAACTTACAAGATGAATGGATAGAAAAGATATGGTCCATATATACAATGGAGTATTATGCCTCCACTAGAAAGGATGAATACCCAACTTTTGTATCAACATGGATGGGAGTGGGGGAGATTATGCTGAGTGAAATAAGTCAAGCAGAGAAAGTCAATTATCTTATGGTTTCACTTGTGGAGCATAAGGAATAACATGGAAAACATTGGGAGATGGAGAGGAGAAGTAAGTTGGGGGAAATCAGAGGGGGAGACAAACCATGAGAGACTGTGAGAAACAAACTGAGGGTTTTGGAGGGGAGGGGTGGGAAGAGGTGAGCCTGGTGGTGGGTATTAAGGAGGGCATGTATTGCATGGAGCACTGGGTGTGGTGCATAAACAATGAATCTTGGAACATGAAAAAAATAAAATTAAGATGTTAAAAAAAACAAGTTTTCAAATGTAAACACTGAGAAAACAGGGAAGGGGCATGGATGGAGGAGTTTTTTCCCTTAACTTCAATGAGACTTAGCTTCTTCTTTTTAATTTGTATTGCCTTTGCTGTCCAGCCTGGATAAACATTTGCTTGTGTATAAGGAATACAGAGAAATCTGTTCACCGCAGCATTGTTGGGATATGTTTGGAGGTATGCATGCAAAAAATAATAATAATAATAATAATCTACATGCTCATCTACAGGGAAAAAATGGAAAATTGTATACCCATACAAGGAGATACTGTGAAGCTGTTTAGTAATATTTTTAAGAAAGTATTAAGAATTTAAAGGCTGTGTGAGCCATTCAAAAAGTTTAATACCAAGTTCCTGATTATAAGGGCCAGAACTGTGGGTGTCAGTTAAGGTTGACTTGAGGTTTTTAGTTAATGTTTACATTTTTATGTTGCAATTTATTTTACTGTGGTTAGTAAGTTTCCTACACTGTCACTGAAATCAAGCAGCGTTCCCGTTTGGAACATAATACTTAGAAAAATAATAAACACTTTGAATTATCTTTACTTTTTACTGCACTTAATAGCATTGCCTATAATTTTGCCATTCTGGGATCTTAGGTATATTATGAATATATGATATGAATATATGAAGCTTCTGTTCTTATTTCTGATTCTCCAAATCGCGTGTGCACACGTGTGTGTGTGTGTGTGTGTGTGTTGGGAGGGGAGGTAGGAATGTAGACGTTAAGGTACGAGTTGCATGTAAAATACTGCTGGGACTGTGTACATTTCAGTAATTGAATCTACTGCCTCCCCGAAATCACCTGAATACCGACCATGTGGTATTGCCCCACCCATCTGTTAGCATTTCTCAAACCAAACCCATTATCTTTC